AACATGAAAAAATTGCCTTAAGATGATAGATTTGGGGGACCTTCTATTAATGCACCTCCTGTGAGCTGTGATAACGAATCTCTAACCCTCACCTGGAGCAGATAGAGCAATTCTACCCCTACCTTCCTCATCAACAAGCCCACCGCCACAATCATCAGGGAATGGGTTAGGGTTTGCTCTCTAGATATACTTTCACACAGGAACGCACAGAACTGGTATTAGGTTTTGCAGTGATGATCCTAAGCATTCTTGTAACAAACCCCATTGAAATCCTGTGTGAATTCCAAGCCAGCACTTACAGCGGTTACTCTCTTCTGAGCTATTTTTTTATCCCTTGCATTTGATTTCCGTTCATTGTCCTCTGGTGCTCATTTCCTCCAGCATAAAGGATAACCAGAGGGTTGGATCGTACGGTTCTACTCTGCTATCTCTACTATAGGGTGGTTTAAGCTGTTATATTAAAATATTATTTTTTCACAGTGGAGCAGACAAACTGACTCTCAAAAAGGCAGGTTCAATTTTCCACTTGGAAAGAGGAGAGCTAACATTTTCCACTGACAGTCGAAGGAGTATTCACAATGCACAAGGTTTTATCTCTGGGTTGTATTGGCTACTTTACTCTCACAAGTTGTTTTCTGGGATGTCCATCACGTTTTCATAATAAGCCTGGCATATCACATGCCTCTTGTATGTGGAGAACTGAACATTATGGTAGGGTCACCACCGAGATGGACAAAGGATGCAGACTTCTCAGCCTTAAAAGTCGCTCTCTTTGCAGTGACAGATCCCTGTGGTTAAAAGGCAAAGAGGGGCTACGGCTTCTTCTATAAGCATTGGTCTTACCAAAGAGCGTGAAGTTCCTGATCCTTCCAATTCAAAAAGAAACCCAAACCTTGCTAGAATGTTATATTCTAGGCATGTTCAAATGACTGACACACAGCAAAAATTATGACACAGTTTGTTTCCAGTCACCTCAGAATTTTATAAAATTTTAACTAGTAGAGAAATAAAGTTAACATGGAGGATGGTACATTCTTAGAGGGCCTATGACAAAGCATTGATTTTCAGAGTGAACGTGACCCCTTAGGACACAACACAAATGCCTTGTGATGCACAGAAACGATAGAAAACCAAATAATGTACAACTGTAACATCAGGGCTCAAGTTCTAGTCTCACCACACACAAGCTGTGGGACCACAGGCAAATTACCTCCCTGCTCCAGGCCTTTGTTTCTGCATCTACAAAATGGGGATGACAGTGTCTACATCAAAGAGTTCAGACAACGTGAAGTTGCTTGAGAAAGGGCTCTAGGTTGTTATTCTTTTGGGGGGCTTTGCACAGGGCCTGACATGTAATGAGCAATCAGTTTCCATTTCCAGAATGAAATAAACTGATGCCCTCAACACATAGTGTGATGAACATGGCCCCAGATCAAGGAGCCAGTTCACATTAAAGTAAGAGAAATCCATCAACTATAGTGAAGAACAATTCTTTCACCGGAAGAATATAATGCTCTTCACCCTTGGGGGGAAAAATGGAAGAAGAAGAAGAAGAAGAGGAAAGAAAAGAAACAGGGCAAGTAAAAAGGTTCCAACAAGAAGAGCCTCACCATCTGTTCATCCTCTTTGGCAGCCCAACTGGCACTGAACGTCTGACCTCCACTGTCTTTCATCAGGCGAATCTGAACATGCTGGAGATAGGCAGAGAACGCTCTTCGGGCCTGCACTTTGCTATAGAAATCCAAAACAACATACTGTTACGAGACAGAATGGTAAGCCTACCAAATGTGTACCTGCCTCATTCAAAGCGGGCTCTGAGGATCCTCCTATTAGGAAGGCTAAAAAAAATGAAGCCCATCATGCAGTCATTGACTAAAGATTCCTTCTACACAGTGCATGAGGTGTTTTTTTTTTTTTCCTATTAACAAAATCAAAGATGGAGAATCCTATTTATTTTCTCATTATTAACAGAGGGGAAAAAACCAAACAGGAATAGGAAATCAGGTTTCCTATTCTTACACCTTATCTCTGAACTTTTTAACAACTTTCCTGGGGGAGATGGGCAGGCAAAGTATTGAATCTTCACAAGAACATTTGCATTCATGTGGAAAGGTTTTCCCGCCTTGGAGGCCCAAAGTATATACTTATCAGTTAGTGCAAAAGTATGCTTTTGCTATGGCAACTAATATTTCTGGTGTGCAAAAGCCTCCGAAGCAGGAAATCGATAAATCCTACAAAGGAACTTTTGAGACCAAATCTTCAAGTCCTGCTTTTCTCAACTACAAGACAGGAATGGCAGGAGCCCAGAACAAATGAGTGAGGTCCAACAGAGTTTGGCATAGATGAACTGACAGGCTGGGACGAGCCCAGATGTTCAGTGGGAAAACAAAATCTTTACACATAGTAAAAAAAGCACCTCAGCGACATCACTGGAGAACTCAGCTGATTTCTGCTTGGTGGTCTAGGCTGGAAACAAGGAAATCTGTTGAAGCTACAGTTTAGAAGACAGAAAGGCCAGAGACACATTGATGATTTTCACTTCAGCTGCAAATTGTAGCGGATCTGTTTTCCTTCAGGAGAGATTTTGGTTACTTCAGCTGATCGGCCTTCTGACACTCCAGCCGGAATTACATCAGCGAAGATTAGGGCCCAACACAAACTTTGTTTACAATCCTCACACATGCAATCACTGAATGCTTTCTGTTCACTGTTCCTCCAAAGTTAGGATGAAGGACTTGACCAGAGTGAACTGGACATCCTAACAGGGTCTAGGTCTAACCTCTGCGTATGTGCTGGAGGGACCGAAGAGGAGGGGAGTCAGGTTGGAAGCAGATTTGCTCTTGAGAGTTTAATATAGAAGATCTTCAAAGCATAAAATACAAGTAAGGCTACATGTTTCTAACTAATGGGGATGGTTTATGGGAGCACAGTATGATTCTGAAAAAACAAATTTCTATTTTCAAATGTTTCTCAACAAGGACACTTATATTCTTGTTCACCTGGAGACCACTTTCCCCTCAACCATTTACCTCCACAACAAACTATTTGCAAGACAAAACAAATGACAAAAATTCTTAATTTTCATCCACAAATTCACTTGCTACCTAATGAGGTAGAAATGGCACGTTTCACAGATCTCCCAAGTAGCAGAATACCTCATTTTATTAATCATTCCTCTAACGCTGAAACGTGAAGGTCTGTTGGATAAGGGAGATGTCACTTCGAAGCTGAGATTTCAATCGTTATTTTGTTGTAAGTCATTGCCACAAATCAAATGAACAAGTATGGAGGTTTCCATTTCTATAAACCTTATTGAAGGGACCCCTGGGTTGTTAATTCTGAGACTGCCCCCAAGATATTTGGACACACTGGTTGGCTAGGCATTTTCGACATACGAAAAAAGATGAAAGGATGAAAGCTAGAAATGATTTATACCAGTGAAACTTGGTTTTAAAACCATAAAAGCTTATATGGACCCTCAGTATAAAAAATACGCAACTAAAGGCTGGGGCCTGGAGTCTCGAATCCTTGCCACGACCTCCCTGAGACCCCTCAGTAGCCACTGAGGTGCCCCACAGAATCATGGGTAGCTACAGGGAACAGAGTCTGAAAACCACTCATTTGCATTAACACACCAGGCAACTACAACAGTTTACTCAGTGAAAGTCAGATCCATAAGATTTATGAAGAAATCATTTATTTCTACAACAGCTAAGTAGAATGTTATTGCTGGAAAGGGCCTCAGAATATAATCCAGTGGTTTTCAAATGTTCTATTTCAACTCAGTGGAATCCTTTTGCCCCCTCAGAAAGCACAGTCCGAAAAACATTTGTCTAACCTTATACCTTGGCCTGAAAGAAAAGGAAACCGAGGCACGGAGAAGCTCTCTGACTGGCCACCATGATCACACAGCCAGCTGGGAATCACTAAAAAGCGAAGAGAGAGTCCAGGTCTCCCAACAGTTCAGTGAGCTCTCAACTAACAGACTCTTCCAAACCGTAACTCCATCTGCATACCTCCCCAAACCCCGACGTCACCCGCCACCCGTGCAATATAAGAACTGCCCTCTAACTTAGAAAATAAAGGCCATCGTGCATAAATACGTAAACTCCTTTCCTCTTTAACTTCTAACTACTACACTCAGCCCATAGTGCTTTCTTTCTGACTTAACAGGAAGAGAGACCCCTCCAGTGGCCTCTTTCGCCTTCCTTTGGGGTCCTTCTCTATCAATATCCATTTCTGTATCTCTGGTCTTCTTACCATCAAATCCTTCCCCTCGTCTATAAGTAAGCTTCAGAATCCCCATCGTTGGGAAAAAAAAAAAAAAATCCTTTTCTCTTAGCTCACTCCTCACTCTCTCTGATGTGTTCTCATCTTTTCATTGCCAAATCCTCTGAAAAAGTTAGCTTGCACTTGCTTTCTTATTTCTCAACTCGTAATTTCTCACAACTCAGAGGCTGGCCCTATGTCAGAAATGCAGGAGTCTCTTCTCACTCTTCACGCGCTCTCGGGCCGTCTGAAGCATGCTACAGCTTGGAACTCTCATTCTGGAGAGTTCTACCACACTCCCACCTCCTACGCTGATGCTTACCTCTCTAGCTGCTAGTTCCTATCTCTTTACTATTAAACACCGGTTTTCCCCAGGGCTCAATTCTCCTCCTTTTCTCCAGTCTATGCTTGCTGGACTAAATGAATTGGACAAGTTCACTCACTCTGAAGTTCTTATCTATCAACTGCCCGATCCTGTTCAACTCTTACCCTCAAAGTGATATCTTCACCTATCCGCTGAGCAACTTCATTCCAGAGCCCTCCCTCCGCCTCACCGTGCCCCAACTGAAACATCATTTTTATCCTGAAACCAACTCCTATGCTCCTTAAGTGGACTGATGGCATCGCCAAGTTGTTACATTTGGAAAAATCCAGCCTCTCTGGAGTTCTTACATCTACAGAGACCAAGCCCTGCCAATTTTAACCTGCAAATTTCATCCGGTCCATCCCATTCCCTCCATTCCTATAGTCGTGGCTCTGGTCAAGGCCTTCATCTTTCTGGCTCTGGACTACTGTGACAGCCCCTAACTCACCTTTCTGCCATTAGTTCTCCTCTTATCAATCACTGCCCCACAATGCACCTGGAATTTACTTTCTAAATCAAGGTCTGACCATAGCATTCATCTGCTTAAAAATTATCCGTTTAGAAAATACAGTCCCGGTTCCTCTTAAACCCCTTTGTGATCAAATGAATCCAATTATTTAGTCGTATCTCTTACTGCACACTTCTCTCTGTGTAACTCCACTACGCTAACCCAGGTTTCTCAAACTCGCCAAGCTCATTCCAATTTCAGGGCCTTCAGACTTGCTTGTCTGCCTGGGACATTCTGCGCCCTGATATTCCATGACTTGGCTCCTTCTCATCATTCAGGACTCACCTCAAAGGTTACCTCTTCATGCCTGAACATGACAATCTAAAGAAACCCTCCACCCAATTACACTCTAACACTACAACCTGTTCTTTCTGCATTGCACTACTTACTCCCTGAAACTACCTTGTTTCTTTGTTTACCGTCAGTACACCCCCCAAGACCGTAAGCCCCACGAGCCTGTCTTGGTCTCTACTGTAACACTACCATAGCCTAGCACATTCCCGCACAGGGCGGGTGCTCAATAAACTTCTGTTGAAGGGCTGAATGAATGACTAGACTATCACATCTCTCTGCCTTTATTTCCTCTCCTGGCACTTCCACACTTAGCTGTCACCTCTCGGCCCTTGTGGCATCCTACTCATCCGCCAAAGCCTGATTCAAATATTGCCACCTCCCTAATGTCTCTCTAGGCCTCCCAGGCAAGATCAGTCACTCTGTTTTCTGTATTTAAGATACAGAGCGCTTTGTCCATACTGGCGCCCCCGCTCTTTAAGGATCCCTACCCAAAACCGTGAGCTGCTTGAACTCTGTGCTTTTAGTGACTGACACTCCAGCCCAACAAATATTTGTTGGGCCAGTGAGACCTGGGTATGGATTGCAGCGCTATACCTTGGGCAAGTAACTCCTCTTGACAATTATTAATATTCAAAACAACATCAAAAGTAATGACATTCTTCCTTAGTAACAATAATAACAAAATCAGAGTCATTACTTCCCAGGACCACTGTCAGAAAAGGAAAATGGCTGTAGAGCCATCAGCCCAGGACCTGGTACACAATACAAGTCATTGGTTTTACTATTACAACTACAAAAGGTACATACCTAAGATTGCCGTTATCTTGCAGAATCTGCATCAGGTTAAATTTAGGCTCTGGCTCCTGAGTCTCAATTTTGCAGCACTGTTCACCTTTATTGTTCCATTCAGAAACTTTCGCGGCATTTTCTTTGGGTGAATTTTCTACCATAACAGTCAGTGGGGGGGTGTATTTGGCTTGACTTTCTCCGAGGGACCCTGCAGACTCCTCCTGGGAAGACTCCTGTTCTTCATCTTCGTCGTCTAATGCAACTTCTTCCTCCTCTTCACTCTCTGTCTCGGTTTTAACATTCATTTCAGCTGGTTGAGTGATCACTAAATGCGAAGAATCACTAATGTTGCTGAAAAAAGATTAAATTTTCCTCTCTCCCAATACCTTCCTTTTATCTTTTTAATAAAATCCCATTTCTAAATCAGACCACAATAGAGGCACAACATCAACAGCACACACATGCCACTCTACAATCTTACATATTTCAAAAGCCTACAATGACCTCCATTAGAGTTCACGTTCCTCACCATAATACCGATGGCTCTCTCTCAACGTCAGGCAAACATCTTGGGTAGAGTAATCTCTACAGTGTGTTGGAGGTTTTCAGAAGGGCACAAGGAGCAGGGGAACATCGTTCTATCCTATGTTTATTCATTACCTTTCTCTTTCACCAACTTGGAAGGTCTGTGAAGACAAGGACTATACCTTTTTTATTCACCAATGAAACCCTAGTGACCAACATGCCTGATACAGGTGCTCAACAAAGGAGGGAAGGAGCGGGCGGGCAGGTGGGGGGAAGGAAGTCAGTCCATCAATCATGACAAACAGACCTATGACATGGGAGCATCTTGGAGAGAAACACATTCCTCTTTGTTCATGTTTAAAATATTTATATGATTTGGCAATGTCAAGGGATGAACCAGCTTTAATACCTAATTATGAAAAACCTGAACAACAATGCTCAGGGTTCCATTAAACTTCAGCTAAAGTGTTTCTTTCTACTGATTTATCTCTACATCTCAAGTATTTAGCCATGGGCCAAAACGTATGTGCTTCAGTTATTCCCCAGCACAAATACTATAGACTGGAAGATTTAGAAACTTCCAACCCTTTTGAAATTAAGTTTCAGAGAAAAAGACTACGCAGAAAAATTAAATGTATGCATGAGGAAGGTTCTGATTCATTAAGTATGAAGTAAGAAGCTGATCAACTGGGCCTGGCAGGACCCGGACAGTGGAGTTTGGCGTAAGCTCACCAGCAGGTACCTGGGTATTTTGGCCTCATTGCCCTCAATCTGCCATTCCGTCGTCGACGTTTCCGCACCTCCAAAGACAGAAGCTTCCTCTCATAGAGGGCAGCGTGCAGTTTGGCCTTGGAGTTCATACTCTCCACCTTCAATTCCGGTGCTCCGTCAGCAGCCAGTCTATGGAAAAAAAACAATATGGTTGCTACAGCCTTCAGAAAGCTCTCCTTTATTCCAAGGCTAAGCTTGACAGAATTCTGTAACCACAACAGGTTGGGCATGGTATGTCTACTGAATTCTAAAAAGTTTGACAGAAAAATGCGAATACTGGAATTGGAATCTACATTAAAACTTCCCTAAGGGCCTGTCTGAATTTAGTAAATATTCTGAACAAAAACATATCTGAAAACAATGTTTAAGTGTTTTTAAAGTATTCAGTCAGGCTGGCTGACGGTTTACCGCAAAGACCATAAAGTGCCACCCAACACCTTATACCTAGGGATGACTGGGAGATACTGGCAACGCTTTCATTCTTAAGCTGGGTGGTGGCTAGAGGTGTTTGTTTTATTGTTACTCATTATAGTTTACTCAGACTTATACAAATATTCTTCCAATGTATACGCTATTTAATAAACACAAATTTAGCAGAAGTTGAGACAAGGGGAGGAACGTTTGATAGCCTGTGAATATGGTAGCCCAGAGCTAAGACTTATGGCGGAAAGTCTCAGTCAAAAGTTACCAAGACCCCGAGGCACACCAAGTCTCAAACATTCCAACAAAAGGAACTCTCCTCCCTAAGAGTCTACTTAGTTACAGGAGGAGATAGGGGGAGGTGGTAGGGACTCTCCAGCTGGTGATTACAGGTCAGGAGTTAGTGTCAGAGGCACAGACAAGGGAAGGCAGCAGATGGTGGACAAAGCCAAGTTCAATCAGGTCATGAACGGGAAATGGGGTGGACAGAGGATGGCAGCAGCTACCTTAGGCATTAAAGTACGATAAATCATAAGTTAGGGAAGTGACTGGTATCAGGCCCAATCCAAACAAGGACCGGGAAAAGTACTGGGCAGGCAGAGCTAACTAGGTCAGCAAAGACAGAGAGGGATCTTGGTCAATGGGTCAGAAGAGAAGTGCCCATGTCAGTGTCTAAACCAGGCAGCTAACTGAATACTCAGAATGCAAGATCTAACTGGTTGGCTCTGAATTCTCTCTCTTGAACTCCCTGGAACTCAAATTGTATTCCCTTTGAGGTCAAGGGACCTCAATTCTCTGAGAGTTTTCAATCTCTAAGCATGATGGAAAGACTGTGTCTTTTGGTCTATTTAGGTGTTTTAGGGATTTCTGAGTAGATAAACTGGACAGTAAATCTTCTAGAATCTTTCTCACTAGAGCAGGAAATTGAGCCAAGAATAGAGATGGTCCTGACACATGGGGGCAGACACCGGAAGCAAATTAATAAACTTTAAAAATAGTTCCAAGTTCAAAGCCAGCTTACCATAGTCCCAAAAACTGAACACTGCACCCCCCTCACACACGCATGTAGTTGTGAAAATAGATTTTTAGCCAGTTAAAGAAAATGAAACAAAACTAACATTTGAAAATAACAACTATGAGCTTCTAAGAAACCCTGAATAGACCAGTAAGTTCTAAGTATTACACAGGATGGAGGTAGGGAACGATGGAGAAATTATGAATCTGATAAACAGAATTAATAGTTCTATACGGGTAAAGACCAGGCTTGCGTGTCAGTCCCTGGATCGGAAATGGTCCTGAGACTGCCCAGCACATAGCTGACATACCATTAATATTTTTAAATAAACAACTGAATTCACTGTAAGTAAATTATAACACCTTTTAGCTACATCTACCTCATTTTATTTTTCTAACATTGTATTCTGAAAATATTTACACAAACAGAAAAGTTTTAAGAACTGTACAGCAGACAGCCATGTACCCACTGCCTAGTTTCTGAAATAAATATATTGCTATATTTGTTTCAGCACATATATATCCAACCATCCCTTCTTCTATTCATCCACCAATCCATTTAATTTTTAAAGCATTTCAAAGTTACACACAGATGTCAGTGCACTTTGTACCTAAATGCTTTAACATGCACATCGTTAGTAGCTAGAGTTCAGTATTTGTTTTACAGGTATTTGTTTTTGGTGTTTTGGTTTATTGTTTCTGTTTAGTTTGTTTGTTGGTGAGCTAAACACCATATACAGTGAAATACCCAAATACTATAATGCCCATTTGTGAGTTCTGACAAATGCCTAGAACTATGTAACCCGAGCTCTAACATTACCACCCCCTCAGAAAGTTCTCACGAAGCTTCCCAGTCAATCCCTCCCTCACACTCCTAAAGGAGACCACTCTCCTAAGTTGTTTCGTTACATATTAGGTTTGCCTACTCTAGAACTTCTTAAAAATGGAATTGCACAGTATGAACTCTTATAAGTTTCCTTTCATTCTGCCTGTTTTTGAGATTCATCCACGTGATGTGTATCCATACTTATGCCTTTGTACGGCTCAGGATTAGTCCACTCTATGAATAATCCACAGTTCACCTACTCTCTGGTTATCGGACCCCTAGGTTGTTTCCAGTTTGGGAATATTATGAATGAAGCTGCTATGGACATTTTTGTACAAGTCGTTTTGTGGTTACGTTTTTCATTCCTTCTGGGCAGAGATCTCAGCACGGAGCTTTCAAGGCTAGCAAACTGCCAGACCCCTCCTAAAGAACTCGTACCAGTTTCTGCTGCCAATGACAATGCACCAGAGCTCCATTAGCTCCACACCATCTGATGCTGTCGGTCATTTTCACGTTGTTCCCAGCTTTACTGAGCTGTCACTGACAAATAAAATTGTAATGTATTTAAAGTGTACAACACACTGGGGCGCCTGGGTGGCGCAGTCAGTTAAGCGTCCGACTTCAGCCAGGTCACGATCTCGCGGTCCGTGAGTTCGAGCCCCGCGTCAGGCTCTGGGCTGGTGGCTCAGAGCCTGGAGCCTGTTTCCGATTCTGTGTCTCCCTCTCTCTCTGCCCCTCCCCCGTTCATGCTCTGACTCTCTCTGTCCCAAAAATAAATAAATGTTGAAAAAAAATTTTTTTAAAGTGTACAACACAATGACATAATGCGAGCCATTCTGCTGGATTTCAGTGGTATCTCGTAGTTTAACTTGCAATTCTCTGATAACTAATGGTGTTAAGCATGTTTTCATGAACATACTGGCCACTCACATACCTTCTTTTTGAAGTGTCTGTCCAAATATTTTACCCATTTGTAAGAGGGCTGTCTTCTAATTTTTCAGTTATAGGAGTTTGTCATACTCTCTAGACACCAGACCTTTGTTTGATGAATATCTTCACCCGGTTTATGGCCTGCCTGGTCACTTTCCAAACAGTATGGGATGATGATAATTTTGAGGAAATCTAGCTTATCATTTTTTCTTTTTTGGGTACCACTTTCTGCATCATGTTTAAAACTTTTGCCAAGCCCAAAGTCCCAAAGACACTGTCCTAGATTTTCCTCAAGAAATTTTATCGTAAGAGCTTTTCTGTTTATGTCTCTGAATCATCACTAATTTTTCTGGGAGACAGGGGCTGAGGTTCAGTTTTAAAAGTACAATATCCAGTTCCAGTCCTATTTGTTAAAAAGTTTCCTTTCCCCATTGGATTACTTTGGGCCTTTTGATACAAGTCAAGTGACCACATAAATATAGGTCTGTTTCTGGACTCTCTTTTCTGTTCAACTTGCCACAGTTTTGATTACTATAACATTGTAGTATTTCTTTAAGTAAGGTACCCTAAGTCTTTTTCAAGATGACTTTGGATACTCTAAGTCCTTTGTATCTCCACATACAAAAACAAAAAAAAACTTAAAGTCAATTTCTGCTTTGGTGAAGAAAAATACAGTGGATTTCTACAAAAAAAAAAAAAATCTCTCTCTCTATATATACTGGAATTATTATATACACACACACACACATATATATGTGTATATATATTATATATATATATATATACATATATATACAATACATATACATATATATATACTGGAATAATGTATCAGATCTTTAGATCAATTTGGGCAGAACAGACACTTTTTACAATATTCAGTCTTCTAATCCATGAACATCACATATCTCCCCACTTATTTAGATCTTCTTTCATTTATTTCAGTAATATTTACTGAATATTTAGCTTTTACTGTATAGGTATTAAACATATTTTATAAAATTTATCCTTGAGAATTTCATATTTTCAAATGCTACCATAAGCAAAATTTAATTTCATTTTCAAATTATTTACTACTAGTATTTAAAACTACAATACATTTTAGTATATTGACCTTATGTTCAAAGACCTTGCTAAATGCAATGATACGTTCTTGTAGTTATTCTGTAGATGTTTTAAGATTTCCTATTAACTTGGGGTGCCTGGGTGGCTCAGTCAGTTAAGCGTCTAATTTTGGCTCAGGTCATGATCTCATGGTTTGTGAGTTTGAGCCCTGCGTCAGGCTCTGTGCTGACAGCTCAGAGCCTGGAGCCTGCTTTGGATTCTGTGTCTCCCTCTCTCTCTGCCCCACCCCTGTTTGCACTCTCTCAAAAATGAATAAACGTTAAGAAAAAAAAAAAAAAAAGATTTCCTATTAACTAGCTCAGATCATCCAAGATGAAAGACATTTGATTTCTTCACTTCCAATCTGTATGCCTTTTCTTCCCCAACCCTTGCTTCATTGTACAGTTTGGGACTTCTAGTATAAAGTGACTACAAATGGTGAAAATGGACATCTTGATATCTTATGATTCATGGAAGGAAGCCTTCAATATTTTACCATTAGGTATGATGATAGCAATAGATCTTTTATAGATGGCATTTACCAAATGAAGAAATTCCTTCTATTCCTTATTTACTAAGAGTTTTTATCATAAATGTGTTGAATTTCATCAGATGCTTTTTTTTTGGATCTAATAAAATGATCATCGGGTTTTTTCCCTTTGTATATGGTGAATTATACTGATGAATTTTCAAATGTTAAACCAACATTGCATTACTAGGAAAAACCTCTCTTAGTCATATGTATTACCCTTTTTTTTATACTGGTAGATTCAATTTGCGACTATTCTTTGAAGAAATTTTGTGTCTCTGTTCATGAAGATATTAGCCTGTAATGTTCTTTTTTAATGTATACTTATTTACTTTGAGAGAGAGAGAGCACATGCGCGAGACAGGGCAGGGGCAGAGAGAGAATCCCAAGCAGACTCTTTGCTGACAGCAGAACCATGAAATCACGATCTGAGCCAAAATCCAAAGTCAGACACTTAACCAACTAAGCCACCCAGGCACCTCCCCTACCTTTTTAAAAATGTCTTTGTCAAGCTTTGGTGTCATAATTAATGTTGGCGTCATAAAATGAATTGGGACGTGTCTCTTCCTATAGTTTTGAAAGAATTTATGTAAGATTGGTGCTGCTCTTCCTCAAATGCTTGATAGAATTCACAAGCGAAACTACTGGGCTTGGGATTTTCTTTGCAGAAAGATTTTTGATTACAAATTCAATATTCTGAATAGATATGGGACTATTCAAAATTTCTATTTCAGCTTGTATCATTTTTGTCAAGTATTCCCTCCCAAGGAATTCAGACATTTCTTCTAGGTTGTCAAAGCAATGGAATAAGGTTATTAATAATACTCCCTTAATGTCCTTTTGACTTCTGTAGGATCTATAAATTACTTCCTTCTTTCCTATCTGATATTCGTAATTCTTGTTCTTTCTTCTTACTAGATCAGTCTACGTAAGAGTTTATGAATTCTATCTTACCAGTGAACAATTTTAGATTTTACTGGTTTTCTTTATTGTTTGTCTTTCATTTAATTGATTCCCACCCTTTATTATGTCCGTTCTTCAATTTACACGGGTTACTCTTCCTTATCTAGTTTCACAAAATGGAATGTTAGATCAGTGATTTAGTCCTCTGTTTTCTAATACAAGCATTTAAGCAGCTATAAGTTGCCCCCAAAACATGACATGAGCTGCATCCCACACATTTTAATGTTACATTTTTATTATCATTCAGTTTGAAATACTTTCCAATTTCCCTCATGATTTCTTTCTTGACCCATGCATTATTTTGAGGTGTTGATTTCCAAATACTAGGAGATTTTCTATTGTTACTGCTTTCTAATTCCACTGTGTTCAAAGACCATACTGTTTATGATTTTAATCTTTTTAAATGTATTAAGATGTATTTCGTACAACAGCACATGGTCTATTATATGCCAGCTTTCATTTGCTTATGCCTCTATACCACCAAAAAACTCCTGATGGCAATATAAATGCCAAAAATGAAGGCCAGAACCAACTGAATTTTAAATACTTATTGTTTAAGATTTTTTTCTTTTGTTTGATTTTTTCTAATCGCCAAATTGATAGCAATATACTCTAGGAGGCATATTCTTTGACGAGAAACTGGGAGGAAACTTATAAATTAACTGTGACTTTCATTTGGAAGCAAGTTACAAATTCGACCTCTCCCAGTTTTCCCTTAATTAAACGGCAAGCATATGTTTTCCTTCTTTAAAGAAAAATTAGATTTAGGCTTCAAGGGGTTTCAACAAGAAACCAGGTTTATCCTCACTAGATACAGGATGTTTCTTTCTATGTTTCTATTGTTGACATTTTGTTTTCTCAAGAGGCAGAGTAAGGTCTCAAACCAGGGGGGTATAGTGCTTAGGTTTAAGAGTTTTTGTTGGGGTTGCGGTCTTCGGTTGGGCAAGGCCATCCCAGTCCTTCCTCTAAGACCCTTCTCTTCTCCACCAAAGTGAAGAGCCACAGGTATTTTGAATGCTTTCAGTTCTGTGGCAAACTGGAAGCAGTTCTGCTCAGTCCCATACGGCATAGAGTTATAGGCTCCAAGTATATCAAGGCCGAACATAACCACTTATTTGACTCTATCATGACAGGAGTCTTGAAATCTCCTTTTACTTTGGTGTCTCTCACACAGCCAAGCAAAAACACTATTATTATCAGTTCAAATGATATACCTGTAGTTATATAAAAAAAAGTAAATCTCATATTTAGTTTGTAAAAAGTTGCCGCAGAAGAGTGTTTCAACAAAAACATTTTTTTATGTTACTATTCAAGCTGAGCCACCAAAAATGGCTATATAAAATATCATGCTTAGCCCGTGCATGGTCACACATGGTGCACATGGAAAGAATTTCTCAACTTTTAAAAATCAGTTACCGTGTTCTTCCTGTCAATAAGCTTCTTCTTGGGTTTCCCCTACAGAAGTAGAAAGGACAACTGGGTTAGAGGACTGTTCAGATATTCTCTCCTGAGTTCACATGCACACACACACACTCCTGAGATAATACAGAATTATGCCAGGGAAGTCATCTTTGGGGAGAAGCAGAGAAATATATTGAGAAAAGAAAAGAGTCCCATAAGCATGGGGGAAGATCAATTAAAAAACCACAGGGAAAGGACAGATGACTTCTAGGGAAGAATCGTAACAATTACTTGTATTTGTGTATTTAGTCACCAATCAAATCACACTTCTTCTTCACCACCACCATGTGAAGAAGGTTATTATCAACCCTGTTTATAAAAAGGAGGAGGATATGATTGTTTTGTGACATGCCCAAGGTTGAAGCTTAGTGGGTTCAGATTTGAACCCAGGAGTTAGGTCTCAGACGCCCACACTCTTTATACTTTCACTGAACTGTATTTAGTAAAGGAAACCAATCTCAGTTTTCATGGGGTTTAAAAAGGATGCTCAGAAGAAATATTTTTCACAATTAAAAAAAAAATCCCTTTAAAAAAAGAGCTCTCCATTGTCTCTGAACTAGAGTTTGGCCTCTCACCGCAAGAAGTGAATGCCATTTATGTTTAAATTAGCTTTTGTTTTTCCTTTAAAACATTCTTTCCACATTCAATTTCCTTTCATTTAACACATACTCTATCTCTTTCTTAATTTCTTCATTTTTATTTGTATTCATTTGTGAATGTGTATATTTAGCTCAGTACAATTTTATCACTACATAGATTCACGTATACGTCACCGCCGAGATACTGCACAATTTCATGACCAAAAGGATCCCCTGTGTCATCCTTTTATAACCACACAGCTTTTACCTACCTAACCCCTGGCTTCCTTTAATCTGTTCTACATTTAAAAATTTTATCATTTTGGAAATTTTATATAAATGAGAACCTGTGGGATTGGTTTATAAAAAAGAGACACATGCAATCTAGGGCAAGATTTTCTAGTTAGAGAAAACCAAGTAAAAGTAAGTCTTCACCAAAATGTTTTGTCTTTCCCGTCCCATGTCTTCTATTCATGCCAATGTCCTAACATTGTCATCTTACCATCAGAAAGCCTCAAGATGACTCTCTCATCCGATAATGCTTTGTCTCGGTAATATGCAATCATGGTTTCGCATTACAATCACCTCAGCAGCTTTTAGGAAGTACCAATGCTTCAGTCTGGGGCTGGGGCCAGGGCATAAACATGATTTACAAAATCCACAGGTGTTACTAATATGCAGCCAGGGTTAAAATTACCCTCATACTGGAAGACAGTAGGTAAGATACTGTTTCACAAGGCAGGGAGGTAGGTGGGGGGTGAGTGGGAGAGGGCAAGAAAAAGGAAGACAAAATTAACCTAAAAGAAATGATGAGGGAATTAGTTTGAAAGTAATTCGGACACGAATACAACAGGATTTTTGAGAGAAAAAAACATCAATTCAAATCGAAGAGAAGAGACTTACCGGAGATGTTAGGGCTTGCAACAAATGCAATTTCATTTTTTTGGTTCATGTTTTTGTGTGTGTGCCTACCATGTGGTACGCTCTAGATATGGACAAAGATGAACATAAGAAAGTACTACTCTTAAAAGCTCACTTGTAAAGTAGGCAGGCTAGTAAGTAAACAAGCAATTCTAATACCAGGAGGGAACCTGAATCACACCGAGGGACTGGCAGGGCCGACAGAACCTCCTCCTAGTCTGGGTAAGAGGATAAAGGACACAGCTAGAAGAAGTCAGGGACGAACTGAAGGCCATGCCAAGGGGTGGCGAGTATGTAAGAAGGAGGAGGCATGAAAGAGGAAGCTGATACAGAGATACTGGCCATGGTTGGATATGGAAAAGTAGAGACGAGGCTCAAAGGGTAGGCAAGGGTAGATCATGAGGTCTTTCTTTGCTAAACATGGGCATTCATGTTTTTATTTTGTTTTATTTCTTATTAATGTTTATTTTTGAGAGAGAGACAGAGAGACCACGCTCACGAGTGGGGGAGGGGCGGGGGACCGAGTTTTCCGAAGCAGGTTCTGCGCTGACAGCAGAGAGCCTGATGCAGAGCCTGAACTCACAAAACGTGAGATCATGACCTGAGCCGAGGTTGGACGCTTAACTGACTGAGCCACCCAGGTACCCTGCAATTCATATTTCTAGAATGCTTTGTAAACAGGAGTTGTTTCTGGGACTCGAAGAAAGAATTCAGGGAGTATACCAACTTAGATGGAGAAAAAAATTAATCCTCCCTCCAACTGAAATTTAGCATTTCCTTCATATACATGTTGGAAACCGTCTACAACAGTGTTAGTATGAGTTTGTTACCAAAAGAAAATAATACATCCTTTTCTTCATATTAGAGATATTACAGGTATGTCAAAATCTTGCCAACATGTATCACACTTTCGAAATTCTGGCGGTTATTAGACCCACTGGTAGCCTTATTACCGGATTGTTAATAAAGAAACACATATATTAATACATCTCAAATCTTTTTATTGTTCTACTCCCCCTAGGAGAATGCTTCCTAATTCGGCCGGAGGTTCTCAGACTGCCCTTTCCTTCTCCCTCATGGGAACACAAAGGTTGGAAAGACTGAGCCTCAAGCACAGAGTCTATATCAGTTGAGGCAGATACAATCTGTGAGGAAACTCATGCAAACTTCCCATCCTCAGCAAAAGGTCCACTACTTATCAAAACAACTGGACAATCAAAGATCACCAAATATATGAGGAAATATAATAATACAAACCAGAAAGAATGAGATGAACCAACAGAACTAATCTAGAAGAATTAAGTATAATGCAAAAAACAAAGGAACTTTCAACAAACTAATCAAAATAGTCAAAGAGATGTGAAAAAATATTTGTGATCTTGTGATTTATAGTAAGAAATATACATTTGGTCTTCATCCCCATTTCTAGCACAGAGCTCCTAAATCCCTTGGAACTTCTTAAGCGATGAGCATGGTAAAGGTCTTTGGTTATGCCAGTGAGGTGACTTTGGGAATGCCCTGGATCCCCGTCAGGATGGGGGCTGGTCACCAGAAGAACGAACCATGTGATCAAAGAACTGGAACTTTCAGCCCCATGCCTCTGACCAACATGGAGGGTAGAGGGCCAGCAGAGGGAGTTCAATCACCAACAACCGATGATTTAATCAATCATGCCTTTGTAATGATGCCTCCCTCGAAACTCAAAAGGAGAGGTGTGAGGCTGGTGAACACGTGATCTGGGGAGGGCATGGAAGTCCTGCTCCCTTTCCCCATACCCTGCCCTGTGCCTCTCTTCCATCTGGCTATTCCTGAGTTATATTCTTTTAAAATAAACCAACGATCTAGTAAGTGAAATGTTTCTCGGAGTCTTGTGGGCCACTCTGGCAAATTAATCAAACCCGAGAAGAAGAGAGTCGTGGGAACCTCTGGTTTATAGCCAGTCAGTCAGAAGTACAGGTGACAACCTGGACTTGCAACTGGTGTCTGAATTGAAGTCCAAGGAGAGGGACGTTGGAACCTCCGATATGTAGCTGCTCAGTCAGAAGCAAAGGTGACAGCCTGGCCTTGAGACTGGCATTCAAAGTAGGGCAAAGGCGGAGGAGGTGGCGAATGACAGTCTTGTAGGACTGAACCCTTCAACTGTGGAATCCGATGCTAAGCTCCAGGTAGACAGTGTCAGAACTGAGTTGAGTTCTCAGATGCCAACAGGGGGCAACTGCTTGGTGCTATGCGGGAACCTGTCGGCCACACTGGAATTGGTACCCGAAGCATTTTAATATTACATCCATGAACTTTAAAAACTCTTCAGAAATCAAAAATAGTTCTTGGATATTAAAATTGTACTTGCCAAAATCAAAACGGTAAACTGAACAACCTTCTCCTGTGCTGGCACTGAATAATTGAATAGATAAGGCTGCAGATCAATTTAAAATTTTAGAAGAAAAAGTTCAAGAAACCTCCCAGAATTTAACTAAAAAAAAACAATGAGATAAAAAAGAGTGAGAAAAAGTAAAAAAACAAACAAAAAACAAAACATGGAACATACAGCAAAAGATCTCAAATTCATCTAAAAGAAGTTCCACAAGGAGAGAAAAGAGAGGATGACAGTTGGAAAACTTAAATCTTCAGTCTGAAACAACCCACCCACTGCAAAACCAAAATAATGAAAAGTAACACACCAGAACATATCTTGGTAAAATCTCTGAACTCTAAAGATAAAGGAGCCTTGTAAAAGTTTCCAGGGTGGTGGGGGAGGAGAGAAAAAACCAGGTTATATATAGAGAGAACTGAGATTCTGTCTTCTAAGTAAATCTGAAGGTCTCTTTCATTAGAAGCTATACAGTATGATTACTTTATCAGTGGTAATAACTACAAATTTACAGAGAGAAATGGCAAATCCCATATACTTCCTGATAACAGATCATGAAATTGTAGGAAATGGCTAAAATCTGGGGATCTATTTTAAGAATCCTGCAAAAAAGCACACATAACCTTGAAAATAATATACATTTCTCTAAATAACTAAGGTTCTTTATTTTGAGAGTCAGTTACTGAACTTTCCTGTAATACAATTATGTCTTACGGGCAACAAAAGTTATGTGGAGCTAGGTAGTCCCTGATTGCTGTGCTATTTGAATTCCAATGTCTGTTTTCCATCATTTCACCCTATTTCCCCTTGTATTGAGGTTATCAGTTGTCATTTTTTACAACTCTTAGTGTGTTTATTTTGTGAATTACCACCCCTCTCTACCTTTCCTAATCTGATCATTCTAATCTCTTCTAGTCTAGAAAAAGAGATGATCATGCCTTGTTAAAATTGTGTCTAACGTTAAAAAGGGACTGAGTAAAAGCCTTCCTCTAAGAAGAATAAAGTCTAGGGCATCTGTTAAGATTGTTTAAAGATCGTTACAGTTTAATTTGTGGCTTCTGGAAACAGTACAAAATACTGAGAGTTAATGAATTCTGGAACAACAAGGTTTTCTGTTGTGTTTTTTTTCTGCAAGGCCTTTTCTATCAGAGATTTCACAAAAGACTTTTATAAAGCCTCTTTTCTTCTTTTGTGTGTATTTTATCATCAAATGATCTAGTGATGGTATCAGATTAGCAAATTTACAAGATTAACAAATCCCTACCTGTCCGGGAAGAGACGTGTTGCCAGCATATAGTTCATGGAAGTCTTGTGTTCGAGGTAGGACCTGAAAGACAAAGAAAGAAACTGGCTATTTCTTAGGTTTGGCTGAAGGGACAGAATATGGAAATAAAGCCATGAATCAAGCATAGAAGTGACGGGGTACTTATACAGTGTTTCTAAAGTAATATACTGTTCTCTAAAATGACAAAGTAAGAGAAAGTTGCTCAAATTAAAATTATAAAATATTAGAGTTGCAGCAGATAAAATAAAATGAAAAGAATAAATGGCGGAGTTAATTTAGAAGGTAAAAAGAGGGGCGCCTGGGTGGCGCAGTCGGTTGAGCGTCCGACTTCAGCCAGGTCACGATCTCGCGGTCCGTGAGTTCGAGCCCCGCGTCAGGCTCTGGGCTGATGGCTCAGAGCCTGGAGCCTGTTTCCGATTCTGTGTCTCCCTCTCTCTCTGCCCCTCCCCCGTTCATGCTCTGTCTCTCTCTGTCCCAAAAATAAATAAATGTTGAAAAAAAAAAAATTTAAGAAGGTAAAAAGAAAGAAATGGCAGGATTTCTTGGATTAATAAAAAGTGACACACTAAAATCAGAAAATAAAACTGTAAGGTAAAAACAAAACCACTGGGGTGCCTGTGGCTCAGTCAGTTGTGCCCAGCTCTTGATTTGGGCCCAGGTCATGACCCCAGGGGTCATAGGATGGAGCCCACTTGAGATTCTGTCTCCATCCCTGTGCCCACCCTCCTGCCCCAGCTCATGAGCACATGTGCATTCTTTCTCTAAAATCATTTTTTTTTTAATGGTAAGAGAAGAGTGCTTAAAAAAAAAAAAAAAAAAACAACAACAACCACGACTAAAATTCGTATATAACTAAGAGAGAGGTCAAAAGAAGCCAGGAATGGGAGATGCATAAAGGGCGTGAAAATGTAGACAGATGGTTTCAACCATGTTATTTCTCAAGAGCTTTCAATGGCTCCTTGATGGCTACTGCAAGAGGCATACACTCTCTTCCAAGCTTTCCAAAGTTGGATAATCTATACCACCAATTCCTTCACACGCTGTCCAGAACGTTCCTCTCAACAGTGATCATGCCATATAGCCAGACCGAGGCCCCTCACAATCCTCTCACACCACCCCTCGTATTGATCCTTTTGCCTTGGGTCTGGATACCTCCTCACACTCCATCCACTTACCATAACCTACCCTTCAAGAAGCAGCTCAAGTCTTCCCTGCTGCACGAAGCCTTCCCTGATAACGACTGCTCCAAGTCTACAGAAGCACCCTTGTCTGAACTACCTTGCCCTTTACCGTATGCTCAACGGACCTGCCATACACTGTCTCACAGAGGAAAATTTTTCTTCTCCGAAAGCAGCATGTGGTAGCAGGCAAAAAGTTAAGATCCAGATTCAGAATACCTGAATCAGGTCCCCCTGTGTGATCATGGACGAGTCACATTACTTTACTAAGCCTTACTTTCTGTATCATTAAAATGGGGATAACAATGATGTCCATGAAGTACATTATAATTATGAAGAACTATACAAATGAGCTATTTTTATTATATGCATAAATAATTTCTCCATAATCATGCTGGTAACTCTCAAAGGGCAGGGGTTCCATCTAATATTGGTTTTATACTCCAAAGCACCAAACCACCAAACGCAGTGCTAGACACTTGACTGATACCCAATAAATATATATATATATATAGGCATATATATATATAGGCACATATATATAGGTATATATATAAAAGCATATTTGTGACATCTAAATGAAGGCAGTGCAATTAGTTTAATATTCTTGGCCTTGCTCTGCTTCTTTTCTCAGAGGCCCCAGGAGAGGTAGAGTGACTTACCAGACTGGTAATTTAGAAAGAACAAACAGAAATGCTTCATCGAGCAGCTCCCTTTTTTCTCTTGGGGGACAATCTCCCGTTAGGAGGTATATATCTTCTGCTGGTCTGATGGGGTCAGGTGCTCCCCACACACAGCCCAGAAATGGGCATGTACATCTGTCCAAACTGGAAATTCAACAAAAAGTGTGCCTGCCTGCAGATAGATATAATCAAGTCTCCCAACCTAGACTTTATCAGTAAAATAGGAGATATTTTGGCCTCCTCTCTCCTTTGTCTTATTTCTCCATTGGTTCAGAACCAAACCAGTAAAGAAAGGTATCATTACTGGACTCCATAAGAGACCCCAACATTACCTGTAATTGATTCCTTCAAATTTTCCTAAAGGCACTTAAATTAAGGTCCTACTTCTTAAAATACTCAAGAGTGTAGATTTTCACTTTCATTAGTTAAAAGGTATGTTTTCTAGGAACTGCAAACATTTAAATTCTTCAACAACATAACAAAAGAAAACACAAACAATATCCTTTCTGTTGCATTCCTAGGTCTCTGTAAGGTATAATTACATCGATAGGATATTTTGTAAGATGAAAGGAAGATTTCTCTATGAACAGCTGGGTTTTCAAGACAAAACAAAACAAACACAAAATGGGTACCTTCTTTTATTCCTCTAAGTTCTAGCTCTATACTTAGAACCACTAATATCCCAACTAGATCAAAAGCCACTCACCAAAGAAAAAGAAATGTGTTACCTATAAATAAGTACAAAGATTCTCAACCTTATTGTAATCAGAGAATAATCATCACAAGGGATTTTTGAGTCTTTGGGTAAATACAAATCTGCTCAGACATAGGGTGAAAGTCCACAGGGCTGGGCAAAGAGGAAGGGGCAGGGTAAAGAACATTAAAAAGAAAGCATAAGCTGAATACTTTGCAGAATTCACCCAGGGCTATAAATTGATTGGTTCCCAGAATGGATAAATCTCATTGAATATGGGCTCATTTAACAGATAACTCCAAAGAGTCTTTAATAGTAAAACTTTCCTAGACCTAAACAAAAGCTATCCTAAACAAACCATAAAAAATTGTTAAATAATCTGAGTAATGTTGAATCACTACATCACACATCTGAAACTAACATAACACTATATGTTAATTATACTGAAACTTAAAAAAAAAAAAAAAATGTTTTTAAATGAGCCTGAAAAAGATTAAGCTAGTCTACAAGTAACTTAACTGTTGGACACCCCCCCACCAAAAAAAACCAAAAACAACTTTCAACAGCATTCAAAGAAGGCAATAAAACCAACCCACTCAACTATACATTTATAATGTCCAGCATCCAATTTTTAAAAATTACTGTGCATGTGAAGAAAAACGAAAAATGTAACCCATAAGAGGAAAATCAGTCAGTAGAAATAAACTCAGAAATGATAGAGATAACAGGATAACAATTTAAAAATAGCTACTATACATATTATAATATATGCACAAGGATCTAAAAAAAATCATGAAAATAATGGAAAAAAACAAAAAGTTCTAAAGATGAAACATAAAGTATCTGAAATGAACATTTCACTGGATGGAATGAATAGAAGATGTGACACCGCAGACAAAAAGATGAATGAATTTAGAAAGAGAAATAGAAAACCATCCAAAATAAAGAAAAAGTCTAAAAAAATGAACAGAGCCAGACTTGTAGTACAATATCAGCCAATTTTAACATGTAGCCAGAGTTCCAAAAGGAGAAAGGAGAGGAAGGAAATAGAAAAAAAAAATTTTTTTAATGGCCAAAAGCTTTCCATTTATGATGAAAACTATAAGCCCCGCGGACCAAGAAGTTCAACAAATCCCAAGTAGAAGAAACATGAAGAAAATGACACAAGGCATATATCACAATCAAACTGCTAAAAATCAGCCAGAAAGAAATAATCTTAAATGCAGGCTGAGGGAAAAAAAGACACGTTATGCACAGAAAAACAAAAATAATAATTACTGTATGCCTCTTATCAGAAAAATGCAAGCCAAAGATAATGGAGCAACATTTTAAAAAAATGTATTTTTAATGTTTATTTACTTTTGTGAGAGAGAGGGCAACCAAGCAGGGGAGGGGCAAAGAGAGGGAGACAGAGGATCCAAAGTGGGCTCTGGGCTAACAACAGAGAGACCAATGTGGGGCTCGACCTCACGAACCGCGAGATCATGACCTAAGACGAAGTCAGGCACTTAACCAACTAAACCACCCTTGTGCCCAATGGAACAACCATTTTTAAAGTGCTAGGAAAAAAGGACTTATATCCAGAATGCATAAAGAACTCTCACAGCTCAACTATGAGAAAATAACCTCATTTAAAAATGGGCAATCATTAAGGAAGTGAAAATAAAACCATAATGAGATAGCACTACACACCTCCTAAGGAGATAAATTAAATTGACCGTACCAATTGTTGGTGACAATGTAGAGGAACTGGAACTCTCACACACTTATTATGGGATTGTAAAATGGCGCAACCACTTTAGAAAACTGTATGGCAGTTTCTTACAACATGATCCAGTCATTTCATAAGTAGAATTTACCCAAAAGAAATGAAAGCATGCGTATATTTGTAATAACCAAAACCTGGAAACCAAAATGTCCAACAGATGAAAGGATAAACAAATTCTGGCATATGCCTATAATATTACTCAACAATAGAAAGGAATTAAACCAATGATAGATGATACAACGTGTATGAATATAAAAATAATTCTGCCAAATAGAAAAAAAAGACCCAACAAATAAGAAAACAACCTGTGGAATTCTATTACATGAAATTCCAGGGAATGCAGATTAATCTTTAGTAACAGAAAGCAGATCATAGCTCCCTGGGGACAGAGATGGGCAGGGAAGGAAAGGGAGGAGCAAGAGAGAAGAACTACAAAGAGGCACAAGGAAACTTCTAGCTAGAGGTTATGTATTTTTTCATTAGGTTGCCTACGTGCAGGTTTCACAGATATATACATATATTAAAACTTACCAAACTGTACACTTTAAATATATTTATAACTCAATAAAGTTGTTTAAAAAATAACATTTACAATACCATTCAAAAACATGAAACACCAAGTCATTAATTTTAAAAAATATGTGCAAGGCCTTTACATTGAAAACTAGAAAATATTGCTAAGAGAAATAAAAGAAAACCTAAATATGTACTTGTGATCATCACAAGTGATATATGGAACCAGGTGATGTATGGAATGGTTGACTCACTATATTGTACACCTGAAACCAATATGATGTTGTATGTTGACTGGAATTAAAATAAAAACAAGAAGAGGGGCTCCTGGGTGGCTCAGTCAGTTAAGTGTCTGACTTTGGCTCAGGTTGTGATCTCACAGTTCGTGAGTTTGAGCCCCTTGTCAGGCTCTGTGCTGACAGCTCAGACCCTGGAGTCTGCTTCAGATTCAGTGTCTCCCTTTCTCCTTGCCACTCTCCCATTTGTGCTCTGTCTCTCTCAAAAATAAATATACATTAAAAAAAAAAAAAACCAAGAAGAAAAGGAGGAGGAAGGAAGGGAGGAAGAGGGGGAGGGAGGGAGGAAGAAGGAGGGAGAGGGGAAGGGGAGAAGGAGGAGGGGGGAGAGGGGGAGGGGAGGAGGAGGGTGGCAGAGGGGGAGGGGAGAAGGAGGTGGGTGTGAGAGGGGGAGGGGAGGAGGAGGGTGTGAGAGGGGGAGGGGAGAAGGAGGAGGGTGGGAGAGGGGAAGGAGAGGAGGAGGGTGGGAGATGGGGAGGGGAAAAGGAGGAGGGAGGGAGGGAGATGAGGAGGAGGGAGGGAGGGAGATGAGGAGGAGGGAGGGTGGGGAGGGGAAAAGGAGGAGGGAGGGAGGGAGATGAGGAGTGGGAGGGAGGGAGATGAGGAGGAGGGAGGGAGGGAGGAGGAGGAGGAGAACAACTAAATAAATGGAGAGATATATCACGTTCATGGATTAGAAAATTCAATATTGTTAAAATGTTCACTCTCAAAATTTATATGCTCAATGCAATGCCAAATCAAAAGCCAGCAGGCTTCTGTGTAGAAATTGACAAAGAAATTTTAAAATGTCTTGAGAAATACAGATGACACAAAATAGTCAAAATACTTAAAAAAGAACAACAAAGTTGGAAGACACACTATCAAATTTTAAGACTTAGTATAAAGCTATAGTAATCAAGACAAACACATTAATCAGTGAAACTGAATAAAGTCTAGAAACAGACCCCCACATATATTTGAATTAATTTTTAGAAAAGATGCCAATGGAATTCAGTGGGGCAATTTCAACAAATGGTGTTGGAACAAATGTACATCATATGAAAAGAAATGAACCCCAACCCTTACCTCACACCATACACAAAAATTAAATCAATACATATCATAGACCTAAATATAAAAGCTAAAATTGTAAAGCTTCTAGAAGAAAGCATAAGAGAATAAGCTTTGTGAAATTGGGGTTGGCAAAGACTTCTTAGACAGGAAACACAAAATTTCTAAATCTTCTGAAAATGTTGTCAATGGACTTCACTGAAATTTAAAATTTGGGTTTTTTTTAATTTTTTTTTTAATGTTTATTTATTTTTGAGACAGAGAAAGACACAGCATGAACGGGGGAGGGGCAGAGAGAGAGGGAGACACAGAATCGGAAGCAGGCTCCAGGCTCTGAGCCATCAGACCAGAGCCTGACACGGGGCTCGAACTCGCAGACCGCGAGATCGTGACCTGAGCTGAAGTCGGACGCTTAACCGACTGAGCCACCCAGGTGCCCCAAAATTTCTGTTCTTTAAAGCCACTGTTAAAGAAATGAAAAAGCTACTCACACACTTGGAGAATATATTCACAATATAAATATCTCGAGAAAGGACTTGTATCAACAGTCCTTTATAGCACAGTAACAACAACAACAACAACAACAAAATCCTAAATTTAAAACAAAAAAAAGACACAAACTGCCAATAGCACATGAATGCTCAGGATCACTATTCATCAGAGAAAAGCAAATTAAAACCACAGAGATATACTACACACCCACTATAATACCTAAAATTAAAAACCCTGACAATACCAAGTGTTGACAAAGATGAACAGCAACCAGAACTCTCAAACACTGCTGGTAAAAGGTAAAATGGTACTATACCTTACGCCCTATCATATGACTCACCTATTCTACTCCTCGGTATTAACCTAAGAGAAATGAAATCACGTATTCACATACTACATAAGTGTTCATAACAGCTTTCTTCATAACAGTTCCAAACTGGACACAACGCCAATGGTCTACAACAGGTGAATGGATAAATACATTGTGGTATATTCATACAACAAATTAGTACATAACAATAAGGAACGAACTACTACTTCACACAACATGGATAATTCTCAAAAACGTTATGCCAAACAAAGACTCCAGACACAGGAGTATATATATTGTATGATTCTACTTATAGAAGATTCTAGAAAAATGATAATGACATAAAGCAGATCGGTAGACATCTGTGGCTCAGGATAATGAGGGCAAATAACTGTAAAGGGGAATGAAGGGACTTCTGAAGGTTACAGAAACATTCTACAACTTGATTGTGGTGATGGCGGCGGTTAAATTGGTGTTAATATTTGTCAAAACTTATCATCAAACCATACACTTAAAATAAATCCATTTTGATGTATGTTAACTAGATCTAAATGATGATTAAAAATAATATATTGTTTAGGCACAATAGAGATGATAAAACAGTTTTTTTTCAAACCAAGGTAATGATGACTGTAAAATTTTTTTTACAAGTATGTGACCCTGGGTTAGGGGACTATTAGGAAGGAGGTGGGGGATTTTTTTTTTTTCAAAAGGAGGAATAATGCACAGGTAGATTACATTAATGTTAATGCTTAGGTTGGATAATAGTCACACTACTATAAATAAATATGCAAAATAAGAAAGACCCACATGGAAAGCAATGACAACACTGTGTCACAATTAATCCAATGCTGTGGACCTGAGGCAGATTTAAAAAAAAAAAAAAAAGGTAGTCACCTCACCCATATATTTCCCATGTCTCTGATGTAGGGAATATGCGAATAAATCCACCTCTCCGATCATTTTCTTCCTTCACTCTCCGTAAAACTTTGATCTACATAAAGAGAAAATAAAATGAGTACTGATTTTGGAAACCGTAATCCAAAAGATTATAGAGCAGAGAAAGAGGGTTATGACCCACAAATATGACAGAAGCATGCAGGGAGAAATTAACTCCATATAAGATGGAATTTTCTGAGAACAAGTTTCCTGAGAATAAGTTCCTCCCATCTTGAATCTTTCTCCTTCCGATGTAAGACATGAGTCGGTCATAAATATATGAATCACTTACTAATGTTTATTGAACCCTGTGTTAACCCACAAAGGCCTGAAATAGAGTTATCTTTACCTCCTCCATTGACAGACCGAGCACAGAACCACCTAACTTCCCCGGAACCTTCTCTCGGGCTGAGCCCACAAGGTTTTTCATTTCCGCATCACTGGCAGAGAGGGGACGGGAACGCTATGGAGAAGGGCAAACAGAAACAAAATGTTTTCCTCACCTTTCGTCATTTCCCTCTATTCAGTCCCTCAACATCACGGTCTTTCCTAATATGGATAAGCTCAACTCCAAAGCCCATTTTCTGTAATTACTCTCTTAGCCTGAAACCCTGGGAAATAAATGAAAGCCAGTAGACTCAAAGGCAAGAAGAGAAAACAGAATAGAAGGAAAATGCTATGTGTTGAGAGGGAAACAAGCAGAAAAACAGGAGCTATGTCCACGTGATCTTCTAATCCAGTACTTACTCCTACTCTTGGTCTTAAAGTTCATCCCATATTTTTAAAGATATGGGAAAACATCTGAAAATAACCATGGAGGATTGAATGTGCATTAATTTTGGTAAATAACACTATTCTTTTCAGCAGTGGACAAGGAGAGTTAGGAGAAGTGAGATGTAAGACAGAAAACCAAGGAACAATTTATTATGTCACAGGTGAAAGTTAGTCTGTGGGATGTTTTAGAACTGGGGTGGGGGGTGGGGGGAGGAAATACTGAGATGACAGTCACCAGTGACACAGAAAAGAACTATGACCAAAAGACACACTGCGACTGCTGGACTTCAAGAGACCTTGATCAAGGATGATTGCCTCGGGCACTTCAAGGAGGAAGCCAAATGCGCCATGCTCCTCACAGCCTTCTGAAGGATGATCACAAAGGTCATCTGAGAATGGAAGTTTTAAGTCATTTCGATGTTAGGCGAGCAGAAAAATATCAAGGTAACAAAGCAAGTCGGATGGTATGAAGCATGTCAACACACTATTATTGAAATCGAAAAAGTGACTGATAAAATAAGACAAGTACATCTGCCAAGTTGGGAGATTAAGAAATAATTCAAGAAACGTGGACACAAATTATCATTCTAGATTCCTAGAAGTGACTCTGACCAGAAAGAAGCAGTCCTATTGTGAAGGGCTTAGTTTTCTCTTTGGGTAGACTACCTATGGAAAGGCTTTTGGTAACTAACTTTTGACCTTCTCAACAATACTCACTGCTACAGACTAAAGGTTTGGGTCCTCCTACAAATTCATTTGTTGAAGACCTAACCCCTGATGTGATGGTATTTAAAAACAGGGCTTCTGGGAGGTAATTTGGATTGCATGAGGTCAGGAGGGTGAAACCCTGGCCCGATGAGATTAATGCCCTTAAAAGAAAAGGCATCAGACAGCTCGTACTCTGTCTGCCCAAGCATGTTAAAAAGAGGTCACATGAGCACAGAGTGACACGGCATTCATCTACAAGCTAAGAGTAGAGGCCTCAGAGTGAAACCTGCTTTGCTGGCTCTTTGGTCTTGGACTTCTCCGCCTCCAGAAGTGTGAGAAATAAATTTCTGTAGTTGAAATCACCAAGTCCATGGTACTTGGTTATGGCCACCCAAGCGGACTAATAGTACGCATGTGTACTATTATGAATAGTATATATATATAAATGAATAGTATATATATAATATATATATAATATATATATGATGAATGCTTTTACCTTTTGACACAAGGAAGACCAATACATACTAATCTTCAAAGCTAGCATGGGAGTTATAAAAGATAGATTTTCTAATAGGTAACTCCACAATGACATAACTTTATGAAGAATAACCATGAAATCAGCAGATATAAACAATATGTGAAGGCAGGGTCTTTTGCCTAAACAGCTTTTCCAGTGATATCTTCAGAACCCAGAATAGTACAGGCATGGAGTAGGAGATCAATAAGTATTTGTTGAACAAAGAAATAAATGTCCTGACACATCGATTAATCATGGTTAGAACTAAATTTTGCAGAGGATTCTGGGGAAAATTTTAATTCCCTTGCAATCTCTGGGAATAAATTAAACAGTGTATCTTGGCATGAGAGGGGAGTCAACAGGAAAGTTTAAAGACTGAGGAAAGTAAACATATAAGTTAATCTTTTCAAAAATTTTAAAAGTATGAATGCTTACTTAGCATGTAAAGCCAAAATATTAACTGGATGCTTTAAGGACTCTTCTCATTTTATCATTGGCTAAAAATACTTATCGTTCACTAAAAATACTTTTTCACATGTGATGATGTGGCTCTGATCAGAAAGCCACTGGCAGTCAAGTGCCTTATCCAAGGTCAAGTTGCCTTATCACTCAGACTATTTAAGAGTACCTTAAGTTCTCTAAAATTATTGTAAGAGTGAGTATGGAGTAAGCACTCATTTAGATGACATAACAAGGGGCACCTGGGTGGCTCAGTCGGTTAAGCATCCGACATCAGCTCAGGGCATGATCTCGAGGTTCACGACTTCAAGCCCCACATCAGACTCTCCGCTGTCAGCGTGGAGCCTTCTTTGGATCCTCTCTCCCCTTCTCTTTGCCCCTCCCCAGTTCATGTGCTCGTGCTCGCTTTCTCTCGAGCATAAATAAACATTAAAAAAAATGATATAGCCAAAAAAAAAAAAAGATTAAGCATTTGAGAATAATTTATTTAAAAGTGATAAATTGAAATATGTACTGAAGATTAATAATAAAAATATTTTAAGAAATAGTTATCAGCTGTCAGAATAGTTTTAAGAAATGCGTGGTTGTAGGGGCACCTAGGCGGCTCAGTTGGTTAAGCGCCTGACTCTTGATTTTGGCTCAGGTCATGATCTCACCATTCATGAGACTAAGCCCCACATCAGGCTCTGTTCTGACAGCACGGAGCCTGCTTGGGATTCTCTCTCTCCCTCTCTCTCTCTCTGCCCCTTCCACGCACACACGTGTACATGTGTCTTCTCTCTCTCTCTACCAAAATAAATAAATATTGAGAGACAGAGAGAGAGAGAGAGAGAGAGAGAGAGAGCACATGCACATGCGCAAGCAAGTGGGTGAGGGGCAGAGAGGGGGACAGAGGATACAAAGGGGGCTCTGCACTGACAGCAGCGAGCCTGATATGGGACTTGGACTCACAAACTGCTAGACCACGACCTGAGCCGAAGTCAGACACTCAACTGACTGAGTTACCCAGGTGCTCCAACACATAAACATTAAAAAGAAAAGAAATGCATGGTTTTATAAGAACATGGATCAAATCACTACTGAATAACATCTAATCAGCACCCTCAATTTTTAACAAATTTTTTGCTTTTTGTCCTTGTTTTGTTTTTAATACTCATTTCTTGTCTGTTTTTTTTTTTTTATTATTGTCTTTGTAAATTTTTCATTTTTATTTTTGATCTTCTTTTTCTTTTTTAGGAAATCAGGAAATTTAGGAAATTAGGAAATATTCCAAAATGGAATAATATTACTGCTTCCAGAGACTGAGATTATAATGATGTTGCAACCTTCCTCTACGAATCTAAACCTGCTCTGGGAAACAGTGCATTGGTGCTCCAAAATTCTCAATCTTCTCTCCCGGTCACTTTCAAAGAGTTGTCTCCCATACACATTCAGAAACACTCCTTTGCTCCCCAGAATCCACAGTTCCAACTCGATCTATTTGTGCATGTATGTGGGTTATCTGAGGGAGGTGTGGAGGAATTCAGGAGATGCTCCTGGCTGGGGTCTTTGGAGGGTTGAAAACGGAAGGGGCTTAATGGTGTTTGTCAGATGCACGCTCTAGCTGTGAACTCCCATAAGCTGATGGCTATTACTCTTCTATTGCCACAAATATCACCAGGCTACAAATAAAAAGGCCAACGCTACTCCAAGAGGACAACAACATGGCTAGATACTCCTTTTATCTCTTTACCTATTTATTTCAAACTAAACTATTAACAAGTCTGAGAGGGAAAGAAATATGAAAAGTTGTAGCTACTGAAGTTTAAGTATCTCAAATACCTCTCTAAAATCCCCCAGGTCTCCTGTGTCTTCGGGGAAGATGCTGGAAAATATGAGACTAGAAAGTCAGAAGTATTTTTCCCATCTCAGCTTTTCAATAAATTTGATATTAAAGAGAATTTTCTTTATCAGCATAATATCTGTTGTACTGGTCTACAGAGACATGTATTTACATAGGTACAACAGAGCATTAAAATCCCAGACCACTGGCTGAATTCTACCAGTATTTGTTAATGAAACAAATGATTAAGAAAGGTGACCTGAATTATAGACACAGGTGAGAGAAAAAGCAGAGAAAAAGAAGAAGAAAAGGTAACGAAGAAAAAAGAAAGACAGAAATGCTTCTGAATGCCAAGAAGACTACCTGGAGATTAAGAGCAAAGCAAAAAAAAGAAGAAAAGAAAAAAAAAAAGGAATCAGACTGACTTGCCAAAAACAAGAGCAAAACCCTCCAAATGCAAGCCCTTCTGTGGTTCTGACCTTGTACATATCAGCGCAGCTACATTCTCTGGGTGGTAGAATAAATCCACATGTTCCAGGGGATTGGCTGAACACACGAAGGAAATAAAGCTCTTCTGAATTTAGAGAGAACCAATGCCTCTGTCTAGATGACACAGGATTTTAACTACTGGGTATTCAGATGTTAAACTGCCAAACCACTGCCTAGGTAAGAATTCTGCCATGCAACATGCATCAAAGATGTAAAATTATCATTAGTACAACTTATGAATCAGAAATATACCCAGAGAAGAACCTTTACATGTCTAACCTTTATCGGGAGGGAAGAACTGAGAATGTGAAATCATGGAGACAAGGAACCACCTGTCTCCACTCTAAGTAGTAAAAAAACAGATGTTGAATCATAAAAAGGATTCCCGACCTAAAGTAAGCAGGCAAGTACCAGCAATGAGAAGGGCTGAACAAAACACAGAACATGAAAAGGGCCAGGTATCATAAAAGATACCATAATTGAGGAGCAAAAAAAAACCTGTCTGTCAGAGAACACATACAAAGAATAAAAATGTCCCAAAGCAGTTTTACAAACTTTGCAATTCTGTGTTAGAAACAAATGAACTAGAAATAGCTTGATTTACATGTGACACGTCTTGCCACCTAGGAAAGGTAAACTCAAGTTTAAAAAGCAAAACGAATTAATGCTACCAAATGAAATAAAAGGAACAAAAAGGACCACATATGAATACATCTGGGAGGGAAATAAACAAAAAATGGTTAATAGAGAAAGTTTAAGTGCAATTCATAACCAGAAGTATACTTTGAAATGAGAGGAGGGGGGAAAAAAGCAGAAAGTAAGTAGACTTGTGTTACAGTCAAAAAGAGATATGCGGGGCGCCTGGGTGGCGCAGTCGGTTAAGCGTCCGACTTCAGCCGGGTCACGATCTCGCGGTCCGTGAGTTCGAGCCCCGCGTCGGGCTCTGGGCTGATGGCTCAGAGCCTGGAGCCTGTTTCCGATTCTGTGTCTCCCTCTCTCTCTGCCCCTCCCCCATTCATGCTCTGTCTCCCTCTGTCCCAAAAATAAATAAACGTTGAGAAAAAAAAAATTAAAAAAAAAAAAAAAGAGATATGCAACATCTGGAAATCTGGAATAAATATAAGTCAGCAGGTCTGAGAGACATGCATCTTGTTATTAAGGGAACTGGTTTAAAAAACAAAAAACTTACCAAAACCACTTACAATTATGTTTGAAAAATCATGAAGAACTGAGGAGGTACCAGAGGATTAGAAAAAAACAAATGAGGTACCAATCTTCAAAAATGTAAGAAGTGTGCTCCTGGTGTTTACCACCTGGTAAGTCTAACTTGAATCCCTAGTAAAATAATGGAACAAACATTAAAAGAAAAAAAATCCATAAACATTTAGAGTTTAATGGGCTCATGAAGAGTAAGTACAGAAACTGCTTTATTTATTTTAAAATAGGCTTTAAAATGTTTATTTTTTGGACAAAATTACAAAAATGGGGGAATATAGCAAGTATATTTAAATGTCTTTGGGTTTTACAAAAGCATTTGTACAAATTTCATAAAATTTTTATTTGAAGTTATACTTGTAATCTAGACTTAGTGTCATGGTATAATGAATAAAATACACCAACAAAAACTGCAAAGAGTTAAAAGATGTGATGTAGGATAAACAGTAGTGAATCAAATTAGGAAGTGATTTTCAGAATCCATACTGACTAAGCATTCCTTAGAATCTTCACTGATGTCTGCGAGGATGGATAAATAAATAAATATAAAGTAATTTGCATTTGTGGATGACAGCAAATGTGAAAAGAATGGCTACAGAAAGAGTATCAAAGTTACACCAGATACTACCTATCAAATGGGTAAAAGGAAAATCAATAGACTCAAAAGTGTGAAGGGGGTCTATGTGTCCAAGGTAAAGTATGTGTCCAGAACTATCCCAAATATTTTCCCAATGTTTTATCATTTCTTTCACGCCATACCTCCATGTATGTATTATGATCCTCATTTGACAGACGTGGGCAGTAAGCCTCAGAGATGTAAGGGAACTTGCCCAAGGTCTAACAGCTAGTTGGTATGAACCAGAGTCTATCCGACTCTACAGTCCATGTCTTTTCCACAAAACCATGCCATCTGCCTTGGAACAGTGAAATGTAGTTTCTGGTGAATGGAAAATTTGAACCACAGGCATTCAAGGGAAGGAAGAAATGTAGAAAGAGACAATGGATTAAAAAGGAACAGTCAGACAACAGGCAAAGAACGGTGACTTCGCAATCTGACAGCAACAGAAAAAGAAAATTTGACAAAGTGTACGTGGCCAGAGCAGGGAACTTGTGTTTGTTTTTCCCTTGGCTCTGTCAGAACTACTGTGGAACTGAGAAGGCTTCATTAACAGAAAGACAGTGACAAAACAGAACACTGCAAAGAACGAGAAGAGTCCAAGATTTCAACATGTATCAGATAGGCTGAGTAAAGCTAGAGAGGCTTTGTGTCAGGCGAGCAGTGTTCAAACACACAATCCTGAGGGAAGAGGCCTCACTCGCTCGCTTGCTCGGACACAGGCTATCGCAACCTACAAGGGTTCAAGCAACCGAGCCAGACAGAAGAGAATTAAAATGGTGAAGGGAAATTAAGGTTAGAATAAACATACCAAAGACACTTCTTTGGACTCAAATGCAGAAGATTATGAATTAAGCATTTTTCAAGCTCTCCTTAAATTGATTAGATATCCCTAAAAGGTATTGGAATGTAAACTCTTTGAAGTCAACAGCTTTGGAGACTTTTTGTTGTTGTTGTTTTTCTATTTGTTTGCCATGGAGAGCGGCTAACACACTCAGGTGGCTGCTAAACACAAGACACTAAACGCTACCGAGTTTTAAATCCTACCAACTGAACACAAAACTCATACTATGGAACCACATTAACCAGTTACCAAACACTAGACAAGACAACCGTTAAGTCTTTTTGTCACTTCTTGGATTCATATAAACCATGGAAAGAAAGCGCTTTGTCAAAAGCAGTAGCTTATGCAAGTTACAGATTAAGCTCCCAAGCTGTCCAGAAACTGCATCAGAGAGGACAAAAGCCAAAATAAATACACTGGAGCTCTTTGCTGAAGGACTACTAGCTCCAAGTGGCACGCTTACGTAGGAAACATCGACAGCGCTCATTTCAAAACATCGAATAGCAGGAGTGGCCACCCTCACTGCTACCCAATCACTTCAAAAAGATGTGTAAAAGAAAAAAAAGATCTTCACAGAAGAAAATGACAGCTAATCTCAAATATCGCTAACAAGGACAGTAAGAGAGCAAATACTATTATTCATTAAGAGTTGGAGACACAATATTTTGTCTGTATTTTCAAAGGCAGCATCTCAGACACTAATTATGGCAGAGTTTCTAGGATTAATAAAACTGCAAATCACCACATAAAAGAAATAGGTACAATCAAATGCTGCCCAATACCCAATGTGAAAATGATTCTAATATTAAGCTACCAACAACGGTACATTTCATAAGACATCTGAAGAAAAGAAAGAGTGTTTGTGAACAATATTTCCTTTCCGGAATATTCTGTTCATCATTTAAACCTGACTGCCTCCATCACACCACAATCACTGTCAGGAAAAGAGGATTCATAAATTCCTGCAGCCTCTACCCTTGTATCCTATATCTGGAAAGACCTCTGTACGTTCATTAGCACTTAATTCTATCTTATTCAAGGTCAAAAAGCAGGTGCACAAAACATGTACTGTGAAAGCACAAAGCTAAAAGGCTTTCCGGTTGGGGACTGGAAATAAGAATCTGAATGAAGTCTCCAAATGATCCAGAACTTACCTGTTTGGCGTTTGAGGACTGAAACTGTGCAGACACTGGACGCTATAAAAGACAGAAAAACGGAATAAAGCCTCATCTTCTCCTAACGTACCTAGGTTTTCCAATTCCTACATCTATGATCTCACAAATGAGAAAACAATCTCTAAGCAGGAACCAAAGGCAAGAGCTCTACACTTTGTGCTTGTTAGACTAGAGCATTTATTGTATTTCCCACCACTTTCTCCTCCGGTGTATCCACTACAGTCTCATCTCCGTAGCACCGAGAGCACAATCCTACGGTCGCATCCTGAAGTTAACTACTCCACCTGATAAACTGGTTCCAGAGTACCTATAATGCACCTACGGTTTCTTCCCCCTTTAACGTTTCTAATTTATTTTTGGGACAGAGAGAGACAGAGCATGAATGGGGGAGGGGCAGAGAGAGAGGGAGACACAGAATCGGAAACAGGCTCCAGGCTCCGAGCCATCAGCCCAGAGCCTGACGCGGGGCTCGAACTCACGGACCGCGAGATCGTGACCTGGCTGAAGTCGGACGCTTAACTGACTGCGCCACCCAGGCGCCCCTCTTCCCCCTTTAAATAAGCGTCCTGCAGGCTGCTTATGGATGAAGTCATGGCATGACCTACCAGTTAGGCGAATAGATTCTCTACGATTTGCAAAAAGTGGCCAATAGAGGCTGAGCGGCAAGCTAAGAAAAGGGGTCAATTCATCCAAGACTGACATACAACTGTGCCTAGAGTAAAATCGGCAGAAACTCTGCAAGGCCGCACAGAAACATTCGCAATCCTTTACACAAGACTCTTTGCCTCTTGCCACTGATACGCCAGGAGACGGTCTGCAAAGGACACCTCGGTTAATCTTCTACTTTTTCTTATTAAACACCAAAGAAAACAATCTTCTACTTTTTCTTAATAAAAACTAAATGACATCTGTGATTTAAAACCTTGTTGCCTGGAGCACCTGGGTGGCTCGCTTGGTTGAGCGTCCAACTTCGGCTCAGGTCATGAGCTTGCGGTTCGTGAGTTCGAGCCCCGCGTCGGGCTCTGTGCTGACAGCTCAGAGCCTGGGGCCTGCTTTGGATTCTGTGTCTCCCTGTCTGCCCCTCCCTGCTCGCATTCTGTCTCTCTGTCTCTCTCTCAAAAATAAGCATTAAAAACAAAATTTTAAAACCTTGTTGCCTGGTTTCCCTTCTAATGCAAGTTGACACTACCCCTTGAAATTCAGTACGCCCTGTCCCACATCGCAACTCTGATACTAACAAGGGATAATCCTAGAGCAGATGGTCACAGGCAGGCAGCCCACAGACTGAATCCAACTCAAAGACATGCTATGTTTGGTCCGCAAAGTGTTTCTTCTTTAATTGGACTATATTTTAAAATAAGATTTCTGATTCCTCTTGACAGTAGGAAGGTCTGACAACACGCGGCCCACACTCATGCATGGCAACGATCAGCTAGAGCACATCAGTAAGACAGCTGCCCCCTTTTCACCTGGGGCACACACTCCAGTCTACCGCTGTCATGCCCCTCTCAGCTATATTGTACACCTGGCCCTCTTATTCATGTACGCTGTCTGCCTGCAGCCCCTATCGGCATTTGAGTGTGCAGACCTTGTTCTAATGAAAAGTTAGAGGTATGACTGTTTAGTAGGAGTGATGAGCTTGGCAAACACAAACAGCACTACTTGAAATGAGACCAGCAAGCGAAAGAAAAAAAGGAGAAAGAGGAGTGGGAGAAGAAGGGAGAAGAAAAGGGAGAAGTGGAGGAGAAATAAATGGGGGGGGGCGGGCGGGGGGAGAAAAGGAGAGGGGAAGGGAGGGAGAAGAAGCAGCTATTTCTGCCTTCAAAGAGCTTACAATCTAGCAGAGGAGCACCGGACAATTTAAAAGCAACAAACTGATGAATGCCACACCATGCAATAGACAACAAGTAAATAATACTGAAATAAAAAACAGAGGACTTGATTGAGTGGGATGGGTCTAATAAGAAGAAACAATCTCTAAGCTTCTTGGCAGGCAAGGTAATCAATCCAGATGGGAAGAGAGGAGGAAGGTAGACCTTTTAGATAAGAAGAAATGTTAAAGGCAAAGAACAGAAGTGGAAACTAGCCAGGTCTAGACAGGCAGCGATGGGTTCGATGACAGACAGAACGATGAGCTGATTGGCTTAACTGAAACACAAATGCAGAGGACACAAAGCCTGGAGCGATGCCCGATCAAGTGATGTTTTCAGACAGACAGGCACAGCGGATGGTAGGCATTTATCTCATTTAACCTCAATTAACACCTCACGATCGCTGAGGCTCCTTTTGAAGAGAATCACTTGTAGAGAAGACGTTATTTCAATCGAGCATCTTCTTTACAAAGCTAGCCTGAAGATCAAAAAGAATGTAGCAGAATAATGACTAGGAAGCTGTAGGCTCCCTCTCTGCGCCTTGTTTATGAGCCTATCAGTTGGATGAAAAAAGCAGGGGATTCTTAAAAAGAAAAAGAAAAAAGGAGAGATACTGAAAAAAGAAGGCGAAAGAAAAGAAGAACAAAAAGCAGAGAAGAAGTTGGTTTAAAAGCATATGCTATTAGCCACACCTGAATCTAACAGCCTCCTGTCTGGAATGATTCCCAAATTTTCCTGCTCTTAAGTGACCTCACCCCCATAGTGCTTCGGCTCACTCGTTTACTTCAGCTACCACTTTCCAATAGGCCTTGACTGGGCTCCCTGCTGCTGAATTTGCTTACCTGAGGTTTCTGGAAAGGGTTTCGCCTGGAAGACTCAAAGGTGGGATAAATTGGCCGGGTTGATGCCCGCTGGGCAGGGTCCTGGCACACAAATCCTGAATGGGGAACGGGAAACATTAAAACCCGCCATTTTCCACGAAATTAGCAGGTTTAACTGCACCTTTTCTTTAGCTATACAAACTCAGTTGCACTGTCATAAATCCTCAGGAGGAACAGGCATGGCTCTCTCATACACACAATCCACTTGAACTCCAAACCACCGAAACTGGACAGGACAAGAATGGAAAATATGCAGATAAATCAACCTTCCTTGTTGGGGAGCTGAATCTGATTGAAAAAATAGATGTGGATTGCTGATGTGCTTCAGAGTAAAAGTGCAAACCACCATTTAAAAACACACAGTTGCTTATAAAAACAAATTATTTTAGAGTAGCTTCCTAGAGGGTGACTGGAAAATAATGTTGTTTTTACTGGGAGAATCCAGAAGCAAGTGAGGATTCCTGTCCTATTACAAGATCTACTTCTGGAACTGCCAAAGGTGGTCTATTGGCACCTTTCCAAAGTAGGCTTCTTAGATTATCTATGATAGGCTTAAGAAATTAGGTGTGAGCTCCTTTCACTTCCTAAAAAGAAGCAGATTCCCATCCAAGGAGTCTAGAGTAGCTAAGGTTTACTGCATTTGCTGGTACACCAAGTAACTAGTTCATTTCAGATATATTTTGTCAGGCCTTTTTAGAGCACTTCAAAAACAACAAACCCACAATATACCCACCTGACAGCCCATCTCCATTTCAAAGTTTTGACTTATCTACTCAAAAAGGGATTTCTTTCCCGGGCTGCCTTTAGTTCTAAGTACTACAGAAGGGAGCATGCTGACACCAGCAGAGGCCGTCTAATGGAAATATAGCCAGTCTCCTTTGTAACAAATCTTCTTCAGTGAGTTGCACTCCCCTCGGCTCAGAGAAAAATAGACTTTCTCCAGACCTTTGCTTAATTCTCTTCCTTGGCCCATAATTCCTGTTCCCCAGGAATTAGATCTCAGCCCTAGTTGTGGTTCAGCCTCAGGACAGGACGGAGCCAGGGGGAGCAGGAACACAGAAGCGCTTGCCTGAAAATATAATTTTTCAGTACAAAACATTCAGCATGGCTTAGGAACTGCCAGTCATTAACACCTAGGAGGCTTGACAAAAATGGATGCTCTGGTTAACTTTTATGTGAGCCTTCAGAAAACGCTACTACTCACCTACAACAGTGAACATGTCTGAAATCATACTGGCTTTAATCTTTAGGTCCAGAGGTGCGTCACTGATAGAACAGAGAAAGAAAGGGCAATCAATGTTGTAGACGAACAGAATAGCTCCTCCTCATGGGCCCCAATATAGCAGAGTTTCCAAATGTCGATGAGAAGCAACACAATAAAGCACATCAAATCCAGGGAAAAAGAAAAAGAAGTCTGGGCAAAAATACTAGAAATAAAAGCCCACTGCTAACCTCATCCCCTGTAAGGCAGGTCCAGCAGCAAAGCTGGTTCCCTGACACGCAATCTTTTTATCCCAGCAGGTCTTGTGCAAATCAAATTGTGAACAAGTCAAGAATACTGCTTCATTATCACTGTGGATTTTGGAGATTTAGCCTTTTAATATGTTCTTTTATAAGTATGCCCATCATTCAAATTATTTTTTACTGCTGCAATAGTCAAATCACATTCACAAGCAAGAGAAGAAACTGGGGTAATCTTTGCACTTTTTTTAAGCCTTCATTTTCTGTTCTAAATCAATCTTTTTAAGCTTGTAGGCTTGCAAACGAGGGCAGAAAAATACAAGTTATACCAAAACATCACCAGATGATGCAGCAGGAACCCACATGGAAACAGAAACAATATGAACTAAAAGCTGGAAGCCTCCCTGTGGCAGTGACTGCCACGCTGGCTTTGGTGTTGAGGTGTTCCTCCATGAACCGGATTACTTTGGCTGCTGGACCAATGCATCATTCTGGGGATCTCTAACATTGTATGGTGCACCTTGCTGAGCAATCTGCAAAGAGGTGATTTAACATAAGAGGAGCCCAACATCTGAATCATCTGTAACATCTAGTTCTATACCTTACTATTGGGGTTAAGCCAAATTCCCACCCCATGAAGTAGTCAATCTGTCTTTATTTGATTACTTGGCATTTTGCCAACATCTTTCATCCTTAAAAATGCAGCCACTGGGTGGTCTCCAGCATAAATCTCTAGGGTTCTCTAGCTGTTTAGAGAAGCGTACAGCTGACAGAAACTCTGGCTACTGCTGCAGATACAAGCACAATCTTCTCTGGTTTTAAAAAATAGGTTTCTTTCCTTCTTTTAAACAATAGGTAGGTTACAAAAATTGTAAGATTGTTTGAAGTTTTTTTGAGTCTAATCTTAGATGAATACCAGAACACAGATGATAAAAGGACCAAATATCATACCCACTACCCTAGACCCAGCTCTATACCTTTATAGTATATGCGGATTTGAGTCTGTGCAAACCTGTAGCAATAAAGGAAATATAATACCTCATGCATTTCTTTAGCCTTAGCAGAACACCTACAAAGCTTTAAAACAAGAGAGAGAGGGCGAGAGAGGGAGAACTGGAAATAAAAAGGTTCACAAGAAGCATCCGTTGGAAGCTCAAGAAGACAGTAAACATAGATCACAAATTGACTATAGTAAGATAGGGATTCACGTTGCCATCTGGACTTTAACCATGTGTCACAAATCCCTCAAATTTAGAAATTCTAGTCATTTCTATCTAATAACTAGGGTTAAAAAAAAAAAAATCTTGTGCCAAGAGAAATGACCAAAAAAAAAAAAGTATTTTAGTGTTACTCGTTGAAGGTCTGTCCTTTTCTAGTTGATGGAACAGACTACTTACCAGGCCAAAGAAGGAGAGAGATTTACTTCCAACAACCATGGCTTCAGAGTAGAATCTATGAGCACATCAAAGCCATAGAGTTCTAGAAATACAACATAACACAATACACAAGATCATTTTCTATGTCACAACTAAATAAAGATCCTAGAAGACTGAATCCAATCAACCCCCACCAGACGCCTAGAAATTTGGTGAGTATAAGTAATGAGTGGAAGTAGGAGCAGAGCATCTTTCAAGTTCCAGAGAAATTAATCAAGCTCTAGAGATGAGACAATGTTATAAAATTCCACTTTTTATCATCCACTCTATTGACATTCCTGAGCTCTACACAGAAAGTGACCTGACCTCTAAAAGTTAGCAAGCATGATTCTGCTGTGCTTACGGGTTAAAAAAAAAAAAAGTGTTGGGAGCAGGAATGTAACAAGTGCATTGAACATCAATGATACTTTAGGTTTGTTCTGGATTGTCCTCCTATCATATTCTGAAAACAGAAAAATCTACTGAAGGACTCTCTCTAGGGCCCTTCCAATGCAGTTTCCTAAACCAAGATCTTGCTTTGGCAGCCTAGATTAAGAAGAAATCTGAGTGTAAGATACATTTATTCTTCCCCTCTCCTATAGTTTCAGTTTCCCTTTGAAGACAGAAAATACACTGGCTCAACATAGAAACACAGAAGACTGTGACGAGCCACCCTGCACCACTAATATTATTAAAAAGGGAGGGAGCCAGAGACCAAATTTCCATGGTTTCTGGTTCTTTACTGATTCTTTCCCTAACTCCTCAACTGTTGCAAAGAGCAAAGCAAGAACCTTTTCTCCCAGGATGCAGGGATAATATGACGCTAACTATGGAAACTCAGCTAGCAGCCTTTACTATTATTATTATTATTATTATTATTATTATTATTATTATTGAGACCCTCTCCACAGTCCTCTTTGGTATACATATATGAAATATATCTGACTTTCAGAAGATCCACTCATTCTCGAACTTCCTACTCCATGTCCCTCAAATAATCTACATCTTCCTTCCAAGAGAAAAGATGAGCTTCCTTTCAGTTCAGTCAGAGGTCACGGGCCACAGCTCACATCTACAGAACACATCCAGGTATCTTCCAGAAATTCATTTTGAAACAAAAGTCTTTACTTCAAAAAGGATTCTCCCATTCCTCAATACTCTCAATAACATAGAAAAATAAGTGTAAATTTCTAAAAAAAGACGGTGCCACAGATGGTCTTTTGAACACAGAAAATCTGCTATGGGACCAAGAATCCTAGAAGGGGAATCTGGAGACCTGGATCCTTCTCAGGACTCTACCATTTATTCACTGAGGAACTTGGAGAACTCATTTCTCTGTCTGATATTTCTTTCGCATTGTTTCACCCCTCGGATCTTCTCTATTAATCACCATCTCTCAATACCTGTGTGCTCTATAAACCTATATCCAGAATCCCTATTTATGCAGTACAGGTTCAGGTAGACATCATATTTGAATTTTTCTCTCGGGAAAAGTCGCCATGAAAAGTTGCCATTCTTCTGAATATTTTACCTAATCTTCAATCATCCCACAGAATATTCCCCTTTCAATCTGAAAAAAAGAGTCTACATAAGGCACTGAAAAAGGAAGACTTAATTGCAAAATCCACAAGTCCATGTTAACATTACACAAGCAGTAGCACAGGATTCAACTATTTCATAAAATGCTAATATTATTAATAATAATGGCACGAGGAACAGGGTAAGAATGCCTGAAGCACATGTTGACCAGCTCTGCAGAATGAACCACAGATTTGCAGAATGAACCACAAATGAAGGAAAACTGAAATCCGAATGAGAATCAATGAGACCCGTTATTTAGACACCTTGCATTAAACAGCCAGCACTTTGACTTAACTATTTCCTGAATTAAGAGGCAAATTCCAAGAATCCCAGCAGAAAGGCTGAGAACCAACATTCTGGAAAGTAAGAAAAAATAAAATGAAATAACCCAAAGAGAGACAACACCCATTTACTGGGCACGCTAAATTTTTACCCAGGTGAATGAAACCCATCAGGGCTAAACAATCGCAAAATCAGTTTTGGATCTAACGGCACCTGTACACGCACGAGGCTTGGATCTACTCCCATTTCAAAGTGGGTGAGTATGTGGTGGCATTACAACACAGTGCAAAGCCCAGCTCACCTCAGGAGCTGGAAGTGGGAGGGTGGTAAATGGAGGGAAAAGAGGGCATTTGTATCAGGTTGACCTCTTCCAATAATCAACTCAGCTTAAGAAAAATAATTTCGGTCTTTGGCAGGCTACAAAAGTCCTCATAATCACCCTTTTAACTTATGATCGGTCTTTTCTATGGACATGAAAGATTTTAAAAGGTAAGAAGTATGCTGTCCTGAGAATATTAAACTTCCCCTTTTAATACTGTGTGTTTTAGCAGCAGGGTCTAGAATTTCAAAAACTCAGTGTCCAGGATGAGATACACCAAGTGTTCCTGTCACTAAAGGGTGCGGGCAAGCTAGGCTTTGCCCACTCTGAGAACTATGTTCTTTGTTCTTCTGTGTGGTCCCCATCATAACAGAAAAGCAAGTATTTTCAAAGGACTGGTGCTACCACCTCGATCAACAATGTTTCCTTAGGAAAATTTCCTTTCATGAGACGTATTTCCTTCAGCCCCCAGCCAAATCCAAACAAACTTGAGAATTATATGTGTGACTAGTAAGAAACAGCTTGACTCCATCACGACTTCACATTCGTGTCCTTATCTCCCCACTTCTTGAATGCAGCTTCCTGAAGAAGCAATCTACACTTAGCTGCCTTAACCTTCTTAATGCCTGTTCGTTCTCCAAGCCGTAAGAATTTGCTTTTGCTCCCGCTATCTAAAGCAGTAACTGTTTTCACTGTGATCAACAAAGACCACCTTACTGCTAAGCCCAAACATCTGAAACTGTTGACCACCCCTTACTTATTGGCACTTTCTTCTCCCTTGGTTCCGGGACACTGCTCTCTTCTGATTCTCCTCCTCTTTTCACTCCTTCTCTTCTGCCCAGCTATTCACTGGCAGGTTTGCTCAGGGTGGCATCCTCAGGGCTCTTTCCTTCTCAATTCTACTTCTCTTCGATCTCATGTATTCTCATGGCTGCAATTAACATTATGATGATGACATTCAAATCTATATCTTTAGTCAAGTGTCTCCTGAATACCAAATCCATAACTCCACAACTGCCTTCTACACAACTTCACTAGGATATCCCAGGAGCATTCAACACTCAACAAAATATAACTCGTTATATTTCCCCAAACCTGTTTGGCTTCCCATTTTTCTTCACCTTGGAAAATGGTGGCCTGATCCACCAGTCTCCAAAGCTAGAAACACTCTCTTCACCACCTCCCAAAACCTACACACTACCAGACCTCTTCTCTATTTCTCTTTAATCCAGGCTTCTACATTCTCTTTTGAGATGTAACTTACATATAATGAAAGAGACAGATCTTAAGTGTACAACTTGATGAGGCTTGATAACTGGATACATCCACGTAATCCACACTCATATCGACCCACAGAGAACATTTCCATCATCCCAGAAAGATCCCTCATGCCCCTTCCTGGTAAACACCCTGCTTCCCCTCATCGTACCCCTGGATAATCACTATTCTTATTTCTTTCACCATAGATTCATTGTCCGTTCTAGAATGGCATATAAATGGGAGCATACAGTATATACTTTTTTGAGTCTGGCTTCTTTCAATCAGCATTTTTGAGGTTCATCCACCTATGACTGTTTCTTGTTTTAAAACAAGTTTGTGAAAATAAAACTATTGTATCACTTACATACAACAAAATTCACCCTTTTAAATTATAGTTCGAGGAGTTTTGACAAATGTATGTAGTCATGTAACCACCACCACAATTAAGATATGGAACAATTCTACCACAGGCACGCCAGTGCCCCCCTTTCCAGCCAATTCTCACTCCCCATCCCCCCAGCGACCAATGATCTGATCTCTGCCTTTTCCAGAAAGTCAAATAAAGGAAATCATTCAGATGAACCTTTGAAAGCGGCTTCTTTCACTTAGAGGTGTGCTTTTGAGATTTATCTATGTTTTTACGTATCAACAGTGTAGTTCATTCCTTTTACTGCTGTGTAGGATTCTATGTTATGGATATACCACAACTTGTTTATCCATTCAACAATCACAGACATTTGGGCCGCTTCCAATTTTTGGCGGCTATGAACAAAGGTGCTATAAACCTTCATATCCAGGTATCTGTGTGAACACATAACATTCTGTCTTGGGGAAACACCTACAAGTGGGACTGCTGGATCACGTGGTTAAGTGTACATTATCACCACAGACTTCTTACTTCCCATTCGTTTCCCTAGGGCTAGTCTCTCCCCACTGCAGTCCATTCTCCACATGCCCGTCGGAATTTCTAAGACATAAATCTAATAGTCAGATAGAGATAGGCTGTGAACTGGCCCAACAACAGATACTTGACGTCAGGTGGTACTTGAAGGATTTTAAATTCGTCACTTCTAGTCACGGTGTACACTATTCTCTTTGTTGTTACTCTGTCATCCAAAGCTTTGGGTCAAATCATGATAAAAGTTAAGGAGAGTAATAACAATCTTATTGCCCTCCCGCTCAAAACACTCCAGTTGCTGCCTGCTGTCTCCAGGAGGAATTTACACGTCAGTCCTCTAGAACGGGGCTCCAATCTGCTTCCGTGACCTCAACTCCTGCCGCCCCAGCCTATGCAGGCTGCATCCAGTCACACTGAGCTTCTATTTCACAAACTGCCATATTCTGCCTTGACACGACGCTGTGCATGTTGTATTCCTTCTGGTAGACATGGCTTCCCCTGGCTTCCCCTGGGCATTGCTGATAGCTCTTGTGTGTTCCTAGAGCACCTGAGTCACTCTACTGCCCGTACCACTTTTGTGATCTCCTGCCTGTTCCTCCCCACCACCTGAGGGCAGGGCCATGTCTTACCCATCGTTATACTACAAGCAGCCTGCACCATAAAAGGCACCTAGGAAGCAATCAAGAAATACTAAAAGAAAGATAAAGAAAAGAGAAGAAGAAAG